AGGGAATAAATAGAGAAAGTGTTTGAATGCTTCACCCCTCCTTCCCAAACTTCTCTTGCATTCATAATATGAAGCAGTTCTCCACTTCTGGTAGGACGTTGTTCCACTGTTTTCTCACTCAGCCACACGGATGGATATTGGGGGCTTTGAAGTTGTGTTCCGAATAGAAGAATCCACTTTGTGTCTTGTGACGTATATTAATTCTGCTTCTTTTTTCCTTCCTCCTATTTGAAGTGCTGCAGTGTGGAGATCAGAGATCCTGAGGGAAAGAAGAACCCATCAAATCCCCCTCGGGAGCTATTTTTCAGGAAGATCCCTTGGGAAGATCCAAGACAGGACCCCTCAGGAGGTAATGGAAGATCCTCAGATCCCCCATCTGTCTTCCCTTCGCTCTCACTTCTCTCCTATAGATTACTTCCTCCTATTTTGCTAATTATGCATTTTGAAATTATTTATTCTTTACAGAGAAACAAAGAATGAAGATTTCTGGTTTTTATGAGGGATATCAAACAGCTGTTGAACCTCCAAATCAAGTAAGAAAGGGAAAAGAGGTTAGATTTGTATTCTCCCTTCAGGAAGTGAAGCCCGTGTGTAGAGTGCTCTCTCCTTCTGTTTTCCTCCTCTTGTTTGGCCTGGATTATTTTTGGGTTCTTCCACAACATGGAGAGCAGAATAGCAGGTTCAAGTTGCTGTCAGCCAGCATAGCTTCCTCTGGTTGTCTTGTTCTGCTAGGTTCTCCTCCAACTTGTAGTTTACAAGAAGCAATTTTTTAAAAGTCCTTCAAGAAATAGGAATACGTGTATCACAGTGGCAGGAATTGCTAGAGACCCCCCTTTTTTGGTAATTCTTTGACTCGGAATTGTGCAAGGCTGATGAAAACAACAAATAAATACATTGCTACATTAGCATTTTTTAAAAGCCTTATTTATAACCTGTAGTTCAAAAATAAGGAAATCATACTAAAAATTAAAGCAGACTATTAAAATCCAAACGTTGTGGCCATGTTGAGCATGTAATCGTGGTACTTTGGGCTACAAAATAATTTCCAATCCTCTGATTTGCGCCTCGATTAGGAGATTCTGTTGGGTTTTTTTTTTTTTTTTTTGTCAATTGTAGCATAATATGCTGACTCACATTTAAGTGGTTGTCCACTAGGACTCCAAGATCCCTGTTGCACTTACTGCTGTTCAGCCAGGTATCGCTATTCTATGCCAGTACATTTGGTTTTTGTTTCCTAAATGTAGAACCTTACATTTCTCACTGTTGATTTCCTTTTGTTAGATGGGGCCCAATCTGTCGATCCTTCTATATCTCGAGCTTATCTTCTGGAGTGTTGGTATTCCTGTCAGTCTGGTCTTGTGTGCAAATTTGATGAGTTCCCCTTCTATCTTCTTGTCTAAATGAATGATGATGATGAACAGATCTTGCGAATCCTCCTGTTCTGTTCTTTTTTCCATGTCCAGGAGGGTCTTGTGTCCTTCGAGGAGGTGGCTGTGTATTTCTCTGAGGAGGAATGGTCTCAGCTGGATCCTGACCAGAAAGCGCTGCATTCGGAAGTCATGCTTGAAAACCATAGGAACGTGGTCTCTCTGGGTAAGATTTTTCTAGTCCCCAATCAAGAAGAGAGATTATAGTTAGTTTTTTATTAAAAAAAAAACACTAATCAAATATTGTCTCCTGGGAGGGAGAAGGAAAGGATCTGGCCTTGTCGTGCTCCAAGGAAGGAAAGAGTCAATGTCTCTTTCCTTAGATGCTTTCTCTGCCATTTCTTATCTGTGTTTTTTCCATTTCTATTTGAACTTATCTGTGGAGTCTGAAACGAATGAGGTGTGCTTTTATGTGGAGGTCATGTGAGAGGAGTGTGTTGTCATTTCTCCTCTGAAACCTCTAAACTATGTGAGAACAGAACTTTCACGCTCAGCCCATGGAAGAGCATTCTGTCAGCGTTCCAGAAAAACTCAACTCCATTCAAAAACTCCGAGACAGACAAGTTCTCAAAGTTCCTGTTATTAGAGTAGTAAACTGGCACATCTGGGAAATCCCAAATCTGAAAATTCCAGGTTTCCCTCCAATAAGTAAAAAATTACAAATCCACTCCCTGCTCATATCATTCTATCACCATCCATCCCATCTTGAGGTGTCCCCTCTACTCCTCCTCAACCAGGTGCAGGAACAACATGACCTTGACTGTAATGAAGAATGCTATTATGTCTAACCACATACACTCCATGAAATTCCCCCCTCCCATCTTCCCATGCTCAAGAATGTGGCAGCATGGAAGCTTCAGTGCTAATATGGCTTCCAAGGCTGACACATTCTCCCAATCCAATCCAAGAACAAAGGCCTCATGCAGTGTGACTCAGAGCATCCTAGACCAGGGGTTGCCAACCTTTTGGACCTCAGGGACCACCAAAGTCATAATTTTAAATCCCAGGGATCATTAACTGGATCTGTGGGCATGGCCTAATTTGTGGGTTTGGCTTGGTGGTCATGTGACTGGCTGGGCATGGCTTGTATGTAAATATTATAAGTATGTATATAAATATTGCACTTTTTATAAAAAAAAAGAGCAACTTTTACCCAAAATCAGGCAAAGCAGTCAGGCAGATTGAGTTGCTCGCAGAATCACACATTCATTCAGAGATTATCTATCTGCCATTGGCTAGATCAGTCTGTCACATAAAATTTGCTTGCCGTGAGTCTGCACTGAATAATAGAACCTTCAGTCCTAAGGGAGGTTCAGCTGTGCTTAAAAGCAGAGCCGAAGATCTAAATACTAGCTAGAAAGTAAGAAATCCAACCATTTCCTGCGCCCTAGCTAATCTAAATCTCCTGGCATAGCAGAACAGCTGATGGTCTGAAAAATAGCAATTTAGCAGGCAAGTTTGCCGGGTAAGGAGTGAGTGGGCCGGGAGAGTTCCCGTGGGCCATGTGGGCGGCGCAGCCTTGTGTTTCTGCACAGCCTGGATTAATTGCTTTGGGGGGGGGTGCTCTGGGGGTGAAGTTTCTCTGCGGCCCACCAAAATTTTCTCATGGCCCACCATTTGGCAACCCCTGTCCTAGGGTACAGGTAATCCCCGGGTTATGACAGTTCACTAGCGACCATTCCATATTACGACCAGCCCTCCCCCAAGTACTTGAGACCCAGTCCCGAAATTATGGGTATTGCAGCACCACGGCCATTGTTCATACTTACAAATGACAGTAGAGGCTCTGCAACATTCACCCTACCTATCCTCCCACCCTATTCAGCTGGGACTTACTGTATTTTTTCAGACTATAAAATGCACTCCCCCCCCCAAAAAAAGTGGAACTATGTGCATCTTATAGAGGGAATACGGGCCTATTTTTGGCCTCTCAAACCCTCTGCTCGTCCCATTTTCACCCTCCCTGGTATCCAGAAGCACTCAGCAGGCCAAAAATGAGCCTGCTGTTGGCCTGCCTGACATAGGGGAGGCTGAAAATGGAACGTGAAAAATGGGGAGCTAAAAACTGGTTTGTCTTTGGCCTGCAGAGTGCATCTGGATGCTGGGGAGGGAAAAAACAGGATGTGCAGAGGGTTTGGAAGGCCAAAAATGAGCCTTCCGTTTTTTGTGCAGAGTGCACCTGGACACCCAGGAGGGCAAAAATGGGATGTGCGGAGGCCAAAACTATTTTTTTCCTTGTGTTCCTTCTCTAAACCTGTGTGTCTTATATGTGTGTCCAGTGCGTCTTATAATCCTAAAAATACGGTACCTTGTGATGATGTGGCGAGCCATCGGTTCCCTTGCCTGCTTTGGTGCATTTGCAGAAAAAAAGAGGCCTAAAGTAGTGAGAGATACGTGAGATCAGTAGTGGGAAATCTAGCACTATTTATCTCACGTGATCTGGCACTACAGTGCTTTCGGCCTCTGTTCTCTGCTAACCAAGGCCTGCACCAGATCCAGGGCAAAATGCTTTGCGAAGAGAAGGAAGGCCTCTTTGTTTCCAAAGACTTTTGCCCCGGATCTCGTGCAGTGCTCAGTCCTTAAAAGAACACAGACCTAAAGTACTGCGGTGCAATATCACATGAGATGTTAGCCTGAGATCTTGCTCGTGTGATCTCGCACTAAAGCACTTTAGGCCTCAGTTCTCTGCGATTCTTGAAGCCTTCTAACATTTCCAATCTCAACACAAAGTTTTTATAAGGCAATGGGAGGCTTAAAGGCAATGGGAGGCTTCTAGCATGGAATTTATCTCCAAAATATGATTGCTGGGATCAAGGAACAGGCCAAGTGGGGGTCCCACCCACCAGACAGACGCCGTGGAGCAGCTGCTCCAAGGTACACTGGGGACGAAGGAGCTTTTTTCAAAATTGTTTCATTTCTCACAAGTCTCTGTGGAAATTAAGCCACCTCAATAAATCTTAAGTTTTCTCCTAATTTCTCCTTGGATGTTTCCCTTGATTATTCCTTAACTCGAAACTGACTCTGAGTGAGATTTGCATATATATAGATAATTGTAAAGAAAGGAATGTCTAGATATTTTCAAAGCTTTCATGACTCATGAATATAAAAATCATCATGTCTATATCACACCACTGTAGGCATGCAAACATACAACCTCATGGAATTTCGGAGAAATTCAGAAGGAAATTCACTTGACTTTCTACACTTTGATCTTTTTCTCTAACCTTGTTATGATATGTACAGAATAACCCTTGAGTAACAAGGATATGCACATGGAAACGTTTATGAGAGTAGTTATGAATAATTATTCAGCCACATACATCTGCACTAAATTGAGTTAAAGTTTACTCTAAGAAATAGCACAGTCCAATAAACAGTCCAGGTCATATAAGTTTTACAGTCCAAAGAATATCCAATTACAAAGTCTTCTTCCCGGGTGCCTTTGTCATTTACAGTAAACAAAGATATCAAAGTATAAGCACAGCAGAAAAACTTTAGATAGCAACAGAATGTCAGAAATAAGGAATGTCAGAGAGAGCAAGCTATGATCTCTAGCTCCCTCTTATGGCAATTCACAATACAATCAACCAATCGGAACATAGTACAATCAGTGCAGTGTCTTTGTCTTAAAGCTACAAACATACATTGTTGGTTTATATATTGCTAACCCAAGTAATTGGTGTACAGATTCCTAACAGTTATCATTTTCATTTCTCTTTTGCTTTGAAGGTAATAATGGGCAAGAGAATCAAGATTCTTGTGAACTGTTCCAAGTGATCAATGCTAAGGATGGAACGGAGAAGTTTGGAATTCGAATGGAATTCGAAAACCATGATAGAAACCAGTCAAAGAATTTCAACCAGGAAACCTCATCTTCCACTGATGCTCCGATGCAAGACTTTCTTGCCCAAAAAGAGGAAATAAGGAAAAAATATACTGGAAAATGTGTGAAGCTAATCAAAGCTAAAGTACAAGTAAATGAACACTATTTAACCCAAAACAAAGGAGAAGATGCTATAAGAAGACACAGTGGACAAAATTACAATGGGACATTCATTCTTTCTCTTGGGAATAAGTTCCTTACATCTCAAAAAGCGATTGACACAGAAGAGAAGCCTTATAAGTGTTTGGAATGTGGAAAATGTTTTAGAGCAGGCAACTTATTTCCCATGAAAGAATCCACACGGGGGAGAAACCGTATAAATGCATGGAGTGTGGAAAGACCTTTGCTGAAAGAAGTAATCTTATTTCCCATGAAAGGATCCACACAGGGGAGAAACCATTTAAATGCATGGAATGTGGAAAGACTTTTGCTTGGAGCAGTGGCCTTAGAAGCCACAAAAAGATCCACTCAGGAGAGAAACCATTTAAATGCATGGAGTGTGGAAAGACCTTTGTTGAAAGAGGTCATCTTATTTCCCATGAAAGGATCCACACAGGGGAGAAGCCGTATAAATGCATGGAGTGTGGAAAGACCTTTGTTGAAAGAGGTCATCTTATTTCCCATGAAAGGATCCACACAGGGGAGAAGCCATATAAATGCATGGAGTGTGGAAAGACCTTTGCTGAAAGAGGTACTCTTATTTCCCATGAAAGGATCCACACAGGGGAGAAACCATTTAAATGCATGGAGTGTGGAAAGACCTTTGCTTGGAGCAGTGGCCTTAGAAGCCACAAAAAGATCCACTCAGGAGAGAAGCCATTTAAATGCATAGAATGTGGAAAGACCTTTGCTCATAGATACAAACTTATTTCCCATAAGATGATACACACAAAAGAAGCTGTGATGACCCGGGGCGGGCACAAAAGCAACAAAGTCACAAAAGTTGGTAACGTCCCTTTAATATCTCCAATGTGACCCCCAATGCCCACTTATCATCGGCTGTAGAAAAAACTCTCCCAAGAACAATTTTGAAAGGGAAGAAATTCAGTCCGAAGCCAAAGTACATATAGATTATAAATAAAAAAATATCCATTCCTTAGCCCACATCAAATTTGCAGCTTAATAGTACAACACTCAATTAGGCAGACCAAATCCTCCTCTAATTCTAGCATCCTGTAAAAGTTTTAACTTTATTCTCGCGTTCTTGCCTTGCCATATATACTTCAGGACAATTTTATTTAAGTCTTCAAAATAGTCTTTTCCAAGCCTAATTGGTATTGTTTGAAACAAGTACAAAATTCTGGGTAGGATATTCATCTTGATTGTTGAGATTCTCCCTATTAATGACAATTGTAGGTTTTCCCATTTCATCAAGTCTAACGCTATGTGTTGTTTGAGGTTAATGTAATTATTCTCTTTTAATGTACTACATCTTGGTGTCAAGTGTATCCCCAAATACTTAACCTTATTCGTGACTTGAATTTTCAATGGATCTGCCAGTTCTTCTCTTTGTCTTATTAACATATTCTTTGTCAAAATCTTTGTTTTATCTTTGTTTATTTTCAAACCAGCCACCTCACCATAAGTCTCTATCTTTTCCAATAATTTTGGAGCTGTTTCTAAAGGGTCTTCCAGAATAAAGGCCAAATCATCCGCAAAGGCTTGCAATTTAAATTCTTCCTTTTTGATTTTCATTCCTTTTATACCTTTATCATCTCTAACATTTCTATTCAACACTTCCAAAGTTAATACAAATAGCAAAGGTGATAGTGGGCATCCTTGTCTTGTACCTTTTCGTATATTAATAGAATCTGTGAATTCTCCCTCTATCATTACCTTTGCCGTTTGCTTATAAATTTTTGTATTGGCTTTTGAAGTTGGCAACGTGACCAGATTTGTTTTTCCGCCAGAGTGATCTCTTTTTGGATTGAAGTTTCCTTATTGTTATGGGTAATCTGCTTTTTTGTTTTGTTTTGGGAGTTGTTGTTGGTACATATAGTTTGATGACTCTTTTGACTTCAAGTAAAAATATGTTGTAATGGTCTTCAACAGTATTGCATCCAGTGAATAGAGATTGCCAATCAAGGGATGAGAGATCGTTGTCTATAAGATCATAGTTGCCTTTTTTGAAGTTATAATTGGGGATTATGTTGTGATTATTTTTGTATGGGCGTATGTTGAGACAAAAGTCAATCATACTGTGGTCACTGTTGGAAAAGGGTTCTTTAATTTGTATTCTGTAAATTAAATTCAAACTATTGCACAAGATGAGATTGAGGCAGTTGTTAAGTCTAGTATTGTTGGTTACTAGTTGTTCCAGTCCCAGATTTGTAACAGCATTGTAGAAGTTTGCATGTATAGGTTCAGTTGTACATTCATTTAGGGTCCAGTTAATATGAGGTAGATTGAAGTCACCAAGAAAGATAAAAGCGTGTGGGCAGGATGTTGCCCATGTTAGTAGTGAATTTAGCTTGTTTACATATTCGATGTCATAATCAGGTGCCCTGTAACATAGTAAGAATCGAAATGTGATATTTAAGGACAGTTCACAGACAATGGTCTCAGGAAGAGCAAGCTCCTGGGTAACTTGGATGTTTTTTAGATGTAGGGACTTTTTATAAAAGATAGCAACACCACCTCCTCAACGGATTTCACAATCTGATCGGTAAACGTGATAGTTTCTTACTGTGGTAATGGAGTCAGGAAGAGATGCGTTGAGCCATTTTTCACAGACAAATATGATGTCGAATTTAGCCATATTTAGTAAGAGGAGAAATTCAGGTATTTCATTCACAAGGCTTCTTGCTAGCTTGCATTTAAGCCCAGCTGTAGTTGGAATTGAGGTAGTTAGGGGCATGCGTGCCTAGTCTTGGGTGATGGTGGAGTGGTTGAAGTAGGGTTGTGGTTGAAGGTTAAAGCTAAGTTGTGGGTTGTGTGACTTACTTTTTTATTATTTATTTTTTATTAATTTTTTATTAATTTTTTTAGACAGATAAATAAAAATATCTCTGGTTTAAAGTCAATGTGTTGTTTTATCATTTTTTCCAGCCATGTGTGGATCTCAGTCCAATCTTTTAGCTTCTGCACACATCCACCACATATGGTAATATGAACCCGGTATCTGATGACATTTCCAACATTTTTCCGATTTGTTCTTGAACATTCTCGCAATTCTCGTCAGGGGTAGATGCCACCTGTAAAACATCTTATACAGATTTTCTTTATATGCAGTTGACATTAGTTGTGTGACTTACTTTTGATACAGTCAGCACGGTAGTCAATGTACAGGTCCTTCTCTCCATTGTCTAGACGTTTTTTGAGTTCTGTGTGGAGTACACGGGAGCAGGCACGTTGCTGTACACTTAGGTCAAGGTGAGAACAGAGGTTCTTATGGTTGGTGTTGCTTTTGGCGAGTTTATAGTATAAATGAATTTACGTTTGCTTGATTCATTTTTTGCAAATGACCCTGCAGAAGTGTAAGGCCACAGAGCCGTCTCTGTTTTTGAGCTCTCGGCCAATGCGGGAAATGTCAAGTATTTCATCAGGGGAGATGGTTGATGCTTGATAATCACTGAAGAGGCAGGGGTGGGATTCAAATTTTTTAACAACCGGTTCTGTGGGCGTGGCTAAGTTGGTGGGCGGGCTTGGTGGTCATGTGACTGGGTGGGCGTGGCTTGGTGGTCATGTTATTAGCTGGTCATGGCCAACTCAATATCACTCACATTGAGGCACGCATCTCCTCGCCTGACCTCTCATGACTGTGGGGATGCTGCAACAGTTGTAAGTGTGAAAAATGGTCATAAGTCACTTTTTTCAGTGCCATTGTAACTTTGAATGGTCACTCCACACAAGCAAAGTACCAGCAAAGGAGGGGGAAAAACACACTTTTAAGCTTAATTGGTTTCTGGTTTATTTCCAAAATGCCCCATTTCTTATCTAAACAGAAGAGCAAAAAGACTGTGAAGGAAGGGCTGGATAGAGAGAGGTGGCAGTGGCAGATTGGACAAGCTTTACTACTGCCAGAGAAAATATTTCTTCTTTTTACCTTGGATGTGTCCTTCCTTCCACATTTACTTCTCTAGGAACACCTGAGTTCCTTGAAACACGAGGAATTGTTTTAGGTCCACCTCCTGAAAGGAGGATTGCAATGCAGTCTACATGGGTTCCCCTTTGAAGACACTGAAAAGGTATTGCTGATGTATGAGATACACAATGTGGTGGCATGGATAGTTATGCTTGTATGTGTCTGCACCCGTATCACCACTGCTCCAATGGCCATTCCAAATTATTTGCAACAGTCACTTGATCTGCCAGCAAGCTCTGAGGCAAGTGTGACAAGAATTGCCATCTTGCACATAAGTTTCTCTAGAAAGATTAATTGATTCATTATTTTCCTTTAGTAATGGAGGTTCCTATCAATATTCTGAACATTACAAAGGAAATCTTTCAAGTCCAAAGCTTCCCTCAATTTCACAGCCTATCAAAAATATACTGTAGCTATATTTTTAAAAAAGTGATAAGACTTATTTTTTGTCTCTGGAAATATTAAGAAATCCATCCCGGAAAATGCTCCTAATAATCACTTGTTCCCAAAGAATGTACAATATATCTTGAAATGCAAAGGACAAAGAAATAGGGGTTGGGTTTTTTTTTTCTCAGACAGAAAAATGCACCAAATGTCCGGATGATAAATTCCCAAATAAAAAAAGAGTCCAATGTATCCCCAAAGTTAAAACCTTCCTGTCTTATGAAGAACTTCTGGGCATCATCCTGGTCTCTTTTGCCCTATTCTTGTTCCTAACCACAAGCCTTGTTTTAATTGTCTTCATTCAATACTGAGAAACTCCCCTTGTCAAAGCCAACAACCGGGACCTCTCCTACATCCTCCTGGTTTCCCTCCTGCTTTGCTTCTTGTCTTCTTCTCTCTTCATTGGTCAACCAAGGAAAGCCACCTGCCTTCTCCAACAAACGATTTTCAGCATCATCTTCTCAGTTGCCGTTTCTTCTCTCTTGGCCAAAACCATCATGGTGGTGCTGGCTTTCCTGGCCACAAAACCAGGAAACCGAGCGAAGAGATGGTTGGGGAAGCGTTTGGCCAACTCCATCATCCTATCTTCTTCTGGTGTCCAAGTTATCATCTGCTCCATCTGGCTAGGAGTTTCTCCCCCCTTTCCTGACTCTGACCTCCTCTCCCAGCCTGGAGAGATCATCCTGCAATACAACCAAGGGGCTGTTGTCATTTTCTATGTCACCTTCAGCTACATGGGCTTCCTGGCTGCGGTCTGCTTCACAGTGGCTTTCCTAGCCAGGAATCTGCCCAGGGCCTTCAACAAAGCCAAGCTGATCACCTTCAGCATGCTGGTCTTCTGCAGTGTCTGGGTGACTTTTGTGCCCACCTACCCGAGCACCAAAGGGAAATACATGGTGGCTGTGCAGGTC